AAAAAAAAAAAAAAAAAAAAAAAAAAAAAAAAAAAAAAAAAAAAAGAAGATTGCACCTTCATGTCTTATCTTCCTATCTGGATTTCACTGCCACTAGGGGGTGCCTGGTAATTGAGTCTTTGTACTGACAATTTTTTTCTGGTGCCAAAAAATTACAACAAACATAAATTATAATTTGAACATTTGTAATTGATTTCAGAGTTATTTTAATGTAAAGTTTGATTTTTAAGAAACAATTTCAAGCTGAGAATGCACGAGTGAAGTCTTTAGTCATAATATTTATGACTGTTGATAGACTGTCACAAAGGCTTTAAGGACAGAATTCAGTAAGGAAGTGAAAGAGTGAAGCATTTTCCCTGTGGCACAACTGCAAATGAAATCATGGTTCATGACAAAATTAGAAAAGGGGAAAATGTTATTTTCACATTTCATATTATTATAGGGATGATTCAGTTCACCAGTGTTCTTTATTAATCAATAGATAAAAGACAAGCTCTATTCTCAGTGAGTTTTTACCTATTCATTAATTACCTCTCATTGCTTGTCCCAATCCTAATACTCAGACTATTTCATTTAGTCTCCTTGGTAGTGTTTCTTTTTTCCCCTCATTTGCTCTAAATGTTGATCTCCTTGAGAGTTTTTTACTCAGCGGTCTCTCATATTGTACCTTCTCCTGGATTCTGTTTTCAGCCTTAAGATTTTTTAAAAGATGTTTGGATAACTAGAAACTTCTATTTACAAACTTGCATTTCTGGAGGCTTTCATTTATCTGTTGTCTGTAATTCAGAATTTGATGTTTAAACTGACTCCTCACTTTCCCAGAAACACTGTACCTTCCCACATAGGCATAGTCTCAAGTGAAAAGTGTCAAGTGCTGAGGCGGGAACTGACATGATTGTTCAAAAGGTCACTTAGTTGAGAATTTAATTGATTTTTGTTAAGGTAAATTTTGGTAGAGTAGTAGAACTGAGAATTGGATTTTAGTATATTTTAAAGTATAAGTGAGAAATGAAAACAAGTTACATTCACAGAAAACTTGATTGTAAACAGAAGTGAGCCTAAAAGTCAAGAATTACTTGAAATAGGAGGAGAACAATAAGAACAATTTGAGCAAATTAGACAAAGCAGAGCCTGGTTCCCAGAAGGGGTATGGAATGCTAGTGTGCAGAGTCTCTGTGGCCGGATACTGTAAACCGGGGGTTTACCAGCACAGTTTTAGTGCTCCAGATTTGTAGTCCAAGACAGAAATTCAGACTAGCTCAGTTTGTGATGAAGACGTTTTCCTAACTTGTAGGTTGCCAACTTCTTATTGTATTCTTGCTTGGCAAGGAAAGAAAAAGTGAGCAAACTAGTTTTTGTTGTTGTTTGTCTTTGTTTTTTTCCCCTTTCTTCTTAATTAGAACACCAATCCCATTGGATTAAGGCTACCTTATGACCTGAATTAGCTCTGTAAGACTGTGTTTCAGATACCATCAAATTGGAGGTTAGGGCTTCAATGCCTGAATTCTAAGGGTGATTCCAAGGGTCAATTCTGAGTAGGGAGACAGGAGTGGAGTCCAGGATTAAGTATTGAAATCAAGTTAGCCAGCAGTTAGAGGCAGTGGGAGAGAAAGGTAGACAGTTGGTAACAAATGGAGAGTATTTCTGAGTTCTGGATTTAATAGTTTTAATAGCAACGATAAGTCCAAATTATGAAAAATGCTAAAATAGAAAATATGGATTACTCAGAGGAGAATAAGGATGTCAAGAAAATGTAAAATAGTTGATAAGTGATGGTGACATAATAATTGCCATTCACGAAGGCTGGCTTTTTGCCAAGCCTTTTGCACACAGTATTTTTCTGAAATCCATAGAGTAAATCACTGAGGAAGTTGAGTGAAAGGTAAGGTGAGGACAGAGATGGGACATGTTTAGTTTCTTTGAAGACACTCTGATTCTCTTTAGTCCACACTTAAAAACATAAGCCTAGGTATCAATATCACAACTAAGAGTGATAAACACTAAAGAAAGTCACCTGAATTCATCGAGAAAAAAAAAAACAACTTAGTCCTATCATTAGATAGGAATTTAAAAAGAAGTATAGGAAGAGAACAGTAGAAGAAAGCAACATGTCACGGCTAAATAAATCACGTATCTTAACAATATCTATAAACAAGATAGTATCAAACCTCCTTATTAATAGCAGTGGCCCTCAGCTTTGTGTGGTAATATATGCCTGCTGTCTCCGTAGTCCAAGGTCTTAGAAGCAGCATTTGAAGCAACAGTAGCTTATTGAGGTCAGCTAGGGTGACTGAGTGAGACTTGATAACAGCAAAACAGCAACAACAAACCAAGACAGAAATTCTCAATTTGGATCCTCAAACTTTTCTTTCAGGTAGTAGCAGGGAAAATAGAGGAGGAGGAAATAATGTCTTAAGTACAGTAGGCTAATATTAATAAAAGATGTAGTATAATATTAATGCTGCTTGAGCTTCATGTTAAGGCAAAAAGCACCAAGGAACAATTTTCCAAGAAAAATAAAACAATTGTGGACTTGTATGTTCAAGTCAGCAAAATTTGACATAATTACAAATAAAAACAGACCAATCATAATTATATATCAATTTTACCTACTTAATTTGTAAGCTGTAGAAGATTTGAGCAACCCAGTCAAACACACATTAAGA